AAACAGTTATTACTTCACAAACTTGGTTGCCTTTAGTTTTCTTCAAGTTCAATCAAAGAGAGCAAACAGCGTTTGTGGTCCAGCATGGGGACGAACAAGAGGGTGGGGTGCATTGCAACGGCAGATGACTCACGCGGGGTTAAAATCAATAAGTCGGGCCTCGCTCGTGTGTACCCATCAGATTGCCGTAATAACCATTTTTCTGCGAAGCTTATTTAATTTGCTTTGTTCCTCATTAAGCTCTATTCCGTAATTAATTAAGGTTTGTGAAAGCACTCATGAAAAATAAATAATGAAGTGTTCGTGAAATTAATTTTAAGAGTACTTTGGCAATCTTTTGTATTAATTAATTAAACGTGTATATTTACATAGTATTGATCTCAACAAAATTTTGCTAATTTAACTAAATCGTTCCCTTATGTATTGAGTTTTTTGATTATTGGTTTTGTGTATAAATAAAACACTAATTAACTTTTACCTAAAATTTTCAAGCAATAGTTTAAAACGAATAGTTCGTTCAAGTTACTTTTTAGGTTTGTATATATATAGTATTGTATGTATTTAGATGTCCAATAATAAGTAATATTTTTTTTATCCACAAACGTAATATGCGAGAATTTATTAGGAATTATACTACGCACAGTGTTGCATAATAAATACAAATAAGTGCAAGTAATACATTTTCAAGCTTAATCGATACTTAACAAATCAGTTTTTGAATATGATACCAGAGAAAATGTTCACCTTTGTACACATTGTTCATAAAGTGATTAAAAAATAAATAGGTGATAGGTGTAATATTTATGATATGATATGTTTACAACTACAGGATTAGCCCTCTATGAAACTAATATAATGAGGAAATATAGAGTAACCAGACCTATTTCTTAGCGTTCCATGGATTCACCGTGCGGGTGTCGGGTCTATCGCGTGATAGATGGGGGCAAGAGACGAGACTTCGACAGCGCCCGGGAATTGCGATACAGGAATAGGTTAAGGGAGTACTCCTTGCGACGCGTCAGCATTCACCTCCACTGTCTGCTGTGTTCAACCCCCCCCCGTACCTAACCATATTTGATACGAGCCTGGCAATGCCGCTTTGGATATCCTACGGTATTCTGTAATGATTTTCATAAGTGTCCACTAATAATGTCCAGTCACTGGCGGTTTTTTAAATTGAGTATGGCTTTTTACAAACAAGCATTTCTTTACAAACTCGATGTTAGTCCTTATATTTGTTATTAATTTTTTCGCTATCGCAAGTGATAAACTCACAGTTTCGCGTAAGATTTGTAATACCCTATGATGGCGACGTGAATAATGACCCCGGTCTAATAGAGCCCGATATTGACAAATCCCGGCAACTAACATGAAGAGTGCCCCGAGGAATTGTTCGGACTAATACCAGCCGCAACTTTCCGCCATCGTTCAATACGGCAAATTTTTCATCCTCATTACCTGGATAGTTGGCGCTCCACTACTGTGCGCTTTTCGAGACACTTTAAGACAATAACCCGTTCTACAGATTGGTTGTGCGGGGCACGCCAATCTGTGGAACGGATCATCGTCGTCTGCGGTATTTTCGGACCGATACGACCTTCAAACCTTCAAGAAAAGAGCGTACTCCTTCCTAAAAGGCCGGTAACGCGTTTGTGACTTGCAGACGTTCATGGGCGGCGATGGTCACTTTCCATCAGATGACCCGTCTGCTCGTCTGCCCCGTCTAACATAAAAAAAAACACAGTCAAGGGTTTAATACAGCAAATATCTTTTGCCACACATTTGTAATGATAAATGTGCCTCTAGTTTCATTTTTTAACTTAGAAGTTATGCCAGAATGTGAATGTAATTGTATAAGGTGAATAAAATAAATTGCTTCGTAAATAAACAACCTTTGCGAATCACCATCACTAGGAATGCAATGTATGTTGCATATAATGAGAGATCCTCTTATTGCAGTAAAGCTATACGCTACTAAACATCATCACATATCCTACTTTAAAAAAGTTAATTACAAAATTGCCTGAATCAGGTGTAACATTTAAGAAATTTCTAAAAAAAGTAAGCCATTAAGATTTTCAGAAAAAGAAACTTGCAAAATTCGCTACATAAATCCCAAATAATTCGGAATCAGGGTCGAACAATGCAATAAATGAGAAAACGAGCAACGCATCTATCTGCCCCATTGTTGTACTAAATCGATGGATTCGCTGCACCGCATGCAAATTAAACTAGGGATGGCTTTATATATTTTTTTCATCGGTAACCATTAAAGTCTGCCCCGGATGCCTAGAGGGGCGCAAGGGCGCAGACAGAGTTCCGGCCCAACCGATAATCGTTCCGTGTTGACAATGGCAGTAATTATCGCGTGTAAAACGCCAACTTCCACACAAAGTTTCCCTTGCGAGTCGATTGCGAACTAAAGTTTATGAAAATTAGTTAAGTGTAACGATCGAATTAGCTATTGACTTTGAAAATTTAAAAGTTTCAAACAAATTTTTGAGTAAATGCATCTAAGTCAGTGTTAAAAAATAGGGTAGGCTTCGGGTAAAAAGCAATGTGGGTATAAGAAGATTGGCTGTCTGTCTTTTAATTCATTTTTATTTAATACGTCATGAATATTAACCATAAAAATACTCAAGGATTTTAACGAATAGCGCCAGATTAACTGCGGTATTGGAAACCATTAATACCAAATCGTCGTGTTCCAATTTATAACATGTAAGCAACTATTAAAGTGCAGGAAGTTACTTAATTATTCAAAATGTTCTAATGATATTCAAACGCGTAATACAATTCACTGTCTACCCATTTCAAATAATGAGAATTCATATTTTAGAATACCCTTGAAAATCACAGAGTCTCCACTTTGTGCCTGATAAATTAGGCCGAGTGGAGTTTCATTACGTTATTTATTCATTTCCATAGCCAACGAGCCTTTCAGAAACTTAGGTATTATTAGTATTATTCAGACACGAATCATTTTTTATGTGTCCATCCAAATGTTTTAATTTTCAGTGTAGTTTTTTTCTGTTGTAATTATCTTAAATCGGACCGATAATATTACTCAAGTATTTAACCCTCAATAACCTAAACGAGGCCAGTAATTACCCGCAACATAATTAAAAACACCATTACAGCCCATAAGCGGTACAGGGCAAGTTCCTGTCCACAATTTCTAAGTCGCACATGTCATTTATGTGCCGCAGAGGCAGTTAGCTTGAGACCCTCCCTCTAATTTGAGGGTTAATCGTCAGTCCAATGGACCAGTAAGTGTAGTATAATGAATATTATGCTTTCAGGAGATCCCTTTGCTTTTTGGCACGTCACTTGTGGGTGCAGAATGGGATCCAATGACTTTTGTTACTACTTAACTAATTAGTTTCAATTTCATGTAGGTAATGTTTTGCTACACAAGTCTACTCTGGGTTTAGTAACCTAGGTTGAGTAAATTATCCTCAGTAGTAAATCTAGATAGTCCTAGAGTTACTACTGAGGATAATTTATCAATAATTCAGACTGAAACAATTTCGTTATGTTGTTCTATTTCGTATTAAAGTATAGCTACATTGTTTTCAGGCAGGTTTTCAAATATACTTCATTAAGAATGCGGGTTTATGTTATTTTACTGGTCCGGTGGCATAAAATTTATTATCCTTAATATCAATAATCAAAACGGATGCATTCGGCATCTTGTTTGCATATACTAAATAAATAATAGTTTTATTAAAATGTACAATATAACATATCACAAACTTCTTTATGCACTGCAATAGTATTGTGGGGCTTGAAGTATGCACAAAGCAACGCCCGCAATTCACTGTGAAGCTCTACAACTCGAGAGGGCTTCTGTCACTGGGTGGTTTTAGTGTGACTGAGTATTGCTGCACTCGCAGTCGCAGGGTTAGTAAACATTGTGGGGGAACATCTGTCTAATTTTTACCTGAGAAAGCTTTATCGGTAAGTGCCTAGAGTAATATCTATGTACGTTGTTATATTGACGGTTGTAATAAACGCTTTTACAGGTTTATTTACGGTGTATTGTAGATATTTCTTATGAATTCATTTTCGCGGTGTCCATATAGCTTCAAATTAGTTACTCTAATGAACTACTTACCAAATATTAATATCAAGACAATGTAAAATAAAGTAAGCCTTAAAGTTTTGAAAATAATAAAATAGCTTTTAGCCTATAAATTCCAATAAAAAAAAATCTAATAAATTCCAATATACTTAATGTAAATAGAAGATCAAACGAAAAGCTACCTAGCTCAACAAATTCTTATCGATACCACTGCAAATTTAATTCTGTACCGACCATTGAAAAATATTGCTTTCATGTGACTACTCTGAACACATTCACATGGTAATGGCAGCAAAATAGGAGGAAGCGACACATTCCGAGACTGCTTGCACAAACGGCTAAATATAATGTTGAGATATACAATATTTTACGGAAGGAATTTCTCTCGTACAATTTCTATAGCTACGTCATTCCGTCTAGTATACAAAACAGAACTAAAATTGCATAAGTTTATTAGAATATTAATATTTACTTTTCATACTTATATTATAAATGTGAAAATGAGTTTTTTTGTTAGTTACGCTTTCACGCCTAAACCACGAACCCGAGTTTAAAAATTCTATCACCAATCGATTATCAGCTTAATTATCAGCGAGTAACGTAGGCTACTTTTTACCACGATAAGAGACATACACGCGGGTGGAGACTCGGACAAAAGCTATTATTATATAAGTTGACTGCACGTATGGCGTAGTGGTTTAAGCGGTCACCTCGCCGCTTCTAACTACTTTGAGTGTTTTAGGATCCCCGATCTCCACACGGTACAGCACTTTGTGTGAACCATAAATTGTTATTCTGAATCTGAGTGCTCTTTGTATCCGTTTCATGTATGTGTGTAAAGTCCTCCGCGACACAGGATATATGCCTAGTGCGGTATTTGTCTTTTTAAAATATAAAAGAAAGAACAGTTTATTACCTGACTGAGACTGTCTTCACAACTGCCATCAGCGTCGACAGGTCTGAACAGCGAGTCTTTGATTGACAATTCTCTTGTTCTTTTTTTTTCTTGGGCTTCCCTCATAGCTTGCGATTGCAGTCTTTCAAAAAACTCTCTCGGTTTCAATGGAGGTGGGTCGTCATCCGGCGGGGGTGGAGGCGGTGGTGGCAATCTCGTACGTGGCGAGCTTCGCAGCAAGCAGCGCTCGTCGTCCTCCGTGGAACGTTCATCGTGATCGGAGTCTGAGCTCCTGCTGTCACGTCGTCTTACTCCCTGAAGATGGGGCTCAAGGAATGTTGCATTTCTGTAACAATAAAAGACACAGATAAATATACTTTATTACTCCATAAACATTTCGTCAGCAATAGTAGGCTATGATAAACTGTGTTAAGGGCGGTAACGACATTAATATTTTGTTTATTGATTATTTTTCTCTTTTTTATTGAGCATCATTTGAATTAATGCACGGTTTGCGGGAAACAAATAGGCATATTAACTTGGTACAAAATCGATTCCGATATCATCCAGTAGTAGCTTACTAACACATGTGGCCGTAGTGACCAGACTAAAGGGACATTAACTAAGATTTATTCTCGAGCACAGGCCCCGGCGCGTAGGTATTAATTAAAAAACTGCGCACGTGGCATGGCGCAGCGTGCGTTGGACATTCTTTAGAATTACTTTCCTGTTATCGCCAATTGGAGGTATTGGAGCAATTAAGAAAGTTGTTTTAGGATATCTTTGCGAATCAAGCAGTGTTTAGTGGCATAAAATGTATGTAGTTTACCTACACTCTAAGAATCGTCTAGTTTATCCTTAGTTTCAGAAGTTTATAATATTGGTAATGCTATTTTCAGAAATAAAATAGCAATACGGAGAACACACTTCAATTAGCAATACAACTCAACACTTCATTATCTAATTATCTAGATAATTAGATGATGCAGTCTTGTAAGGTTCAAAGGTAATATTACCTTTGAACCTTACAATAACAAAGTGATACAATAAACCTAATGTGTCGGAAATCACAATATTTTTTTATTAAAAAAACGAGTTATCTTTTCATAAAGCACTGGCTAAACCTGATCACTATCTAATGGCACCTAAACCTACTTGTTTGTATAGTGAGTTGTTTTTATCTATACTTTAAAAATACACAAAATTTCAATGTACTCGGATATTTACTTAAAGTTGTGGGTAGCCCTGGCACAAATATTAATACACCATATAGTATATGCACCCTTTCCTGGCCGGCAATTTAACCCGTCTCCGCCAGTTGATACTAAAACATTGAGTTTGTAATAACAACTCGTCCGCCGTCGGTCCGATACGAGGTGACACCCAATTTGTTGTCGGTAGATGACGTGTCAGAACCTCACAATAACCCTAGCTGTATAGCAATTAAAAGTGTTTCTTAAAAGCAAGCAAAACGTAAAAGTCATTTTAAGAAAATATTTGAAATCTGTTAATTCTCAATTTTCAGCTAATTTGAGGTTAATCTGGCTGCTCGAAATATGCATAAGTAATGTAATAACTATTTTAGGAAATTAATAGATTGATATTTTGTTTTTATACAAATATTCTGGCTACGTATACAAGAATGTAAATATTGAAATATACACGTGTCTTAGTCTGCTTAAGAATATCTAAGTCAATTTGAAGAGCTTAGAGAGACAATAATTATGTATGAATGTCACCTAATCAACTTACGACGAGTCTTTGTCGTCTAGTTGAGAGAATTTCTCTTGAGATTAGTCAATTAATGTACTAAATAGTTAATTTACTAGACGTGAAGCACATATATTATAAATTGATTCTCTAGTGAGACAAGTTGATTGGGCCGTTATTTACGTAGATTCAACACAATCATATAATAAACATTGGATTTGAATGTTAAAACTTGGTTTAAACGTGGATAGAAATAGTGTCATCAACAGAGATTAATTTATTTACTGTTTACACTTTAATAGACTTTTTGTATCTGGATAGTGTATGTAAAGATATTATATACGAGTATATATTTGTACCCAAAAGGATTATGTGTGAAATAGAAATTGTTCAGATAGTGATAAGTGTCGCGCGGCCTATAGCTGCTTGCGTTATAATTAAACGAAAATGAATATTAAAACGAGAACACATGAATTTAGGATGTTGTTTTGGTTCTTGTAAAACGAATAATTTGCCTAAACTTATCAACCAAGTAAGACACTTTGAGGCAACGTATTTAAATTGGCGTTGTTTCGCCGGTTATTATAGTGTCACTATAACTGTAGCAGTTTAAAATACTACACTATAACATATACGATGTATGAATGTACAATGTCGTAGTCTTAACTTAGCATAAAAACCCTATAAGTAATCCTCAACTGAATTAACTTTGAATCGAAATCGGAAGTTACTCAGACACGTACAATATACCCCTTGGTACTATGGAAGAGTATGGTATTTGTGTATATTTTTAGCCAAACATCTACTCCTCTGTGCTTTATATATCCCTAACAGCTCTCAACTTTGTTACTCTAACACACATGATCCCCTCCGTCACGGTAACAAATCAGCATCGCGTCAGATGTCACCCCAGTGGTCATTACACACGACTGACGTAACCACGATTAATTAAAACGTCATATTTGACGCCAACTTTATCACAGGTGCAGTGATGAAAACCTTAATTAATTTTAATGTGGTTTCATTTATATGCGAAAAGTCATTAATATAAAAAGCCATTGCTATGATAGCGGCGGCAACCCTACGACATCGATCTAAATACTGAAAAATTATGTACAAGAACATAACTATTAATAAAATATACAGATAGTGGCTGCTCTTTTATTGACTCACGTTATGTCTGATTTTAATTCTTCCCAAGTTTTTTTTCAAATCAAATCAAATCAAATCTTTATTTGCCAACCAAGTGTACATCAATGATCTTATAATATTATATGTAGTAGTCCCAACTCAGAAGCCTTTTCCAGGCATTGCAAAAATTTGAGAGAGAACGCAGAAGAATAAATTGTTACACAAGTACAAGCATTTTTTGAACAATACAAATTAAGTGACTCAATAGTACAGTATAACAATCGAATAAAGCATGCAAAAATACGAAGTTCCACCTCAAGTTGCGCCAGATGCGAGTCTAGTCCGTTGTACGTAGCCAGGGTCTGTTGGTTGTGATGGTCTCCGTTACAGTGATCGCCACCATGACCAGGAATAGCAGGGTCATGGGGAGGATTTTCCCATAATCGCCACGATGGGCAGGCAGGTTGGCCATTGCAGGACGTAGCTTGTCGCACCGGTGACGCTGCAGCCCGTCAACGGGCCTGTTGTATTTAGCTACGCCTATTGGGATGGATATACCGCCATCGGTTGGTCGCCAGAGCCTCGTTCGTCGTTCAGCAGGATGCACCGCGGCCATGTGAGGTTGGCTTGGGGTAAGAGATGGTGGTTCGCCCCCTCACGCCCCAAATTACACAATTTTTTTTTTATTATTTTATTATACGAACAGGTTCATTAAATGTCAAGTGTGCTGTTTAGAATATTTAAATATTTAAGATATCTTTTTAAAATACTTCCAGGTTAGTTCTTTGACGAAGGTTCTGATAGAAAAAAAACTCTAAATAATTGTAGGCATATCCCGATATTTCAATCATATCTCGACATTTCAAGAATAAATATAATGATCTATTAAGTATTAATTAGTGCTTCAAAATCGAAAATTTAAACCTAAAAAATATTAATAGAAAACAAAGGCGGCCCTTCAATATGATAAGGTTCGTTCACCACAAATTTGGTCACTGAGGAAATCTGTGTTCACAATATTCTGTGGTCACCTGATTCTTTTACCTGTAACATTTTTCACCAAAATTTACACTCAATTGTGCTTATAGCAAGGTTTTTAGACACGGGTCGGAATCGGCGGAACCGGAAGAGTAATGTGAATTCCGCACACGGGATGCTTGCAAAATATATTTCCTTTAGGGTTGACAGAAAGTCACATCTACTGAAAAAGTCTATGTCACATCATCATCATCAACAGCCTATACTAGTCCACTGCTGGACATAGGCCTCTCCTTAGAAAGGAGGTTTTGGCCTACTATACCACGCTGGCCAGAAGGGTTGATATAGGGTTTGTTTCAAGTTTTCCTTCTCTTTGCAGTGCTGTTGTCCTGCTTAGTTTGCTCCCTTAGTCGGCTCTTACGACACCCACGGGATGAACTGGGGTGGTGACAATTTGTATTCTTAATCCGTCACCACACGGACGGAAAAAGTCTTTGTAAATATGCTAAATATGTGGGTTAAAAGACGTAACTAAAAATTACACTAAAACATTTTACGACGTTTATTACTATATACGTCGTTATATACGTAACGTATTTATATACGTTTATACGAGACTCTACTTGTTAAATATGTAATGTCAATTTGATTGTCATGTACAATAATATCAAATTGGTTTGTAATGTCAGTCATGTCTGCAGAACATAATATCATTAAAAACGTTGTTCATCAAAAAAAAATCTGCATGACAAGGATTTGTAAGTAGTTTTTTTTTGGTCAGGTGACAGTGCGACAGTACTACAGTGATTTTTCAAATACTTTGTAATGTAATAAAATAAATAATTTGACACCCCTGTTAATGTTTACCAAGCGACGTTTGTCATAGCTGAGGCAGCCCTAATGATTCGCTTTTGTTTTTCTTCATTTAGTGACCGTCTCTGGGGTACCGCTATTCGGATACAAAAGCACCCAATGTTTGTGTTGAAAACACTTCGGTTAATTTAATAAAATAAAGAGATAGCTTTCGTTATTTTTGTTAATTTTGTTAGCTATGCCTAAGTCGTTATTTTATTTTGGTATAATACTAATATGTTATAATAGACGTAATGATGTTAATCTGAGGGGTATCCTTTCTTCTCATTTGAAAATAATCTTTTTCTGTTTGTTTTATATACCGATGACGTATTTTGTAAATATTTGCTGGTAATTAATTACTAAAACACTATTATAAAAGTATTTAAATTTTGGAGTTAAATAAACTCAAGAGAACTTTTATAAGTGAAAACCAGAATACGATATTTTTTTACTCATATAAGGCTTATTCTTTTGAGGTAATGCACAACCTAATATTTCTTAACTCTATAGATTTATATGTTGTAATGAAGTGAGATCCTTTTAAATTCATCTTAGGATAAGCGGCAAAATTGAACTAGGATATGGGGGACTTCATGTTTCTCCGTGCTTTTACGTCGTCTTCTTCTAGTCTACATCGGGAGCTAGTTAGTGGACGACGTCGTTGCGTAATTAACGGACATCTGGGCAAATTCTTAGTCTTAGCGCAGTTTTACATCTGCAGCGGCAGGCGTTACAGCAAGGATCATGAAGACGACCGGCTCGCTGTCGGACAAAGACGAAGGCACGGATAGGAGCGCCCGTTCGACGGATAAGTGCAAGAAGGGTCCCGTCTGCAAAGGGAAGAGCATGAAGAGGACTGGCTCGCTGACGGACAAAGACGGAGGCACGGATAGGAGCGGCCGTTCGACGGATAAGTGCAAGAAGCGTCCCGTCTGCAAAGGGAAGAGCATGAAGAGGACTGGCTCGCTGACGGACAAAGACGGAGGCACGGATAGGAGCGGCCGTTCGACGGATAAGTGCAAGAAGCGTCCCGTCTGCAAAGGGAAGAGCATGAAGAGGACTGGCTCGCTGACGGACAAAGACGGAGGCACGGATAGGAGCGGCCGTTCGACGGATAAGTGCAAGAAGCGTCCCGTCTGCAAAGGGAAGAGCATGAAGAGGACTGGCTCGCTGACGGACAAAGACGGAGGCAGGAATAAGAGCTCTAACCCTCGATCACACATAGGATCCGTTGTCAGGTACTATCGGTCGTAGTATTAGGTCTAAATAAATATCTTTAGTAGCTAGTATAGTACCTTTCAAAGCATCGGCTAACTACGAGGGATTTTATATATAAAAAAAAAGGTAAATCAATTACGAATATTCCAAATGTCAAGTTACAAATAAAGAAATATTAGTAATAAATATGAAATCCATTAACATTTATGTACTATCGGGTGTAGGTACAAATATCTAGTTAAAGTAAAAACCTTGCATTACTTACAATCCAGTTACTTTATCTAAAGTGTGTGGATAAACCGAGACTAACTCTAAATTTAACCCGGAGCTAACGAGAGTTTATTAGAAACAGAACACTATTCTCTGTAATCTGTCTGACTTAGTACGTGGAGAAGCACTTAGCTTTAATACTGCCGTTGGTTTAACTTGCCGAGTTTTTGGAACGAAGTTTCTAATCGCGTTTTACACGCTCTGAGCGTATGGAAGCGAGACTGAAAAATGTGTAACAAGACTTTTTTCCGACACTTCTTGCAGAACTTCGTTACAACCGGGGTCCATAGACCCCTCACGCCGTTATTTTTTTTTTTGTGTTACCCCACCAAATAATAAGCAGATTAATGGTATTTGGCAATTAAATAAAATAATTAGATTAATGTCAGCCTACGAAATCAATTTTGTTGAATTTTTTGGTACATTTTCTTGCCGTAACTACTTAACCGAATCGAACCGGTATAGGGTACAAAAAAGAGCATTAGAGGTAACCTTTAATTGCAAAATAATACAATTCCTGTGGGATTCACGCGAGTTTCAACCTAGTACTTTTAACCCACGGTAAAAAGGTTGAAAAAAATCAGAGATCAAAGATCTTTGCTCTAAAATATTTATTTAAGTATTATCTTTAGTAATTGAGTACTTAGGAAGACTAAGGATTGAGGACATTTTAATAGTTAACAAATAATCTTATGAATACAGCTAAAAGCCACTTATTTGTTATGTAGTGGCTTATTTTTTTTAATTACGCATAATTACTTCAGTATATCTGTAAAATTAATTTCCAATTAAAATGTCCCTTACTTGTGTTTAGGTGTCATCACACGTCACCATACACTGTGTTACAGTTATGTTAAGGATAATCCAAAATAGCTCAGTTGCAGCCATAGCCATTAACCCCAATTTGTAGTGGATTTTGATTAGCTGAGTCCTCAAACTACGTATGCATATTTAAATGAGGACCAAATGCAGTTTTATTCGTTTCTTACCATAAAATCTATGAAAGCTTTTATGGTAAATCATTTTCACATTAAATTCAAAGACATGTTTTTCAGCAATAAGTTCCACGTTTTATTGCAGCACATTTCCACGTCTATTGAATGTGAGGCAAATTGCACCGCATCTGTCACAAAGGCAGGGTGTCGCGCGTCGTGTACTCAATGGATAGCGGTTTGAATAGCTGTGGGTATAACTATTGGTTCACGATTTAAGTATAGGAGAATGCGGTTCTACTTATTTTTTGATATAAGGACCAAACGAACACACGGTACACCTGATGGTGGTGGGTACCGCCGCTCGTGGATATCTGCAACATAAGAATCTGAAAACGCTTTGTCGGCTTTGAGGTGGGCTCTTTTTTTTAAAGGTGCGGAGGTCGCATTGATCCGGCAACACAACAGTCGACAATTATGTTGCACGGATTGGTTGTGCGAGGCAAAAAGAAAAGCGCACAGTCGTCGAGGGCCAATTATTCAAGAGATGTTAAGTTAGTAACTATTAACAATTTACATATATACATACATAGATACACACATACATTAACGATAGAACGATATTTTTCACCATCCTAACATACAGCTCTCGCCGCTTTCTTTAAAATAAGCTGTTTGCCGGTTACGGGTGCTTTTAACTAGGCTCTAGTTTAATACACTGCCCATCTGGTCAGTGTATGTTTTTCGGAGCCAGCACGCACTAGCTCGCCTTAACAGGGGCCTCATAAATTACTTTTAGTCATTAGTTCGCTACTCATTCTTTCAACATGCTCAATCCTTCACAGCATCCCTTTCTTACCGTAACTACATTTTCTTTCAACCCACACCGTTCTTTTCTCACTTAATTCCTCACTCAACCTGGATAGGTTGTGTGAGGAATTAAGTGAGAAAAGTAGTATAAGATTGACGGATGTCAATCTTATACTACACACACTTCAGTGAGCATATTTTCACAGCATTCATTATAGCAATAACACACTTAAGTTGACTATAGTCCTGTTTTTATAATTGACTTTTAGTTGATTGAAAGTGTCGGCATAATAAAGTGTCAAGGCCTTCAATTTTATTAAGGACAATTTGGAATTTACTTGTTTGGTTGGTTTATTGTCAAGTTAAATAAGTCAGTTAATCTCTCTCAAATTCTCTTATCATGAAAGATAATAAAAATGTAATAAAAGAAAAAGTTTAGCTTCTGATGAAATAAGGAAGAATTTAGAAAAAATGTCGTAGTCCTCTATTTCAATTAGACAATCTTTATTGTCTAAATGTGTCAAATAATTAGCAACGACATTAGTAAAATGAGACAAATTAAAAATAAAATCAACAAGTTTCAAATAAATGCCTTTCGAGATGTCGTCGAGATTCTAAAGTAAGTGTTTCAGAAAGTTACGTTCATCGCGGATGACGTTGAAGAGGGTACTTGTACCGATAACGGCCACTCTGTGACCCGATATCCAACGTTGACACTTTAGTATTAATCTGTGTTCTGTTTACGGTGCTGTAATTAATCCAGTACAATGTACACAATTTGTTACATACATTTCATTTAATGTGTGTATCTCTTTGATGTAAGATTGTGTTTCAGGGCGGTCTTATTTTTTATTTCTTTTGGGTCGACATAGCAGATATATGGTTTTAACTTTTACAAAATATTGATTTTGATCGGAGATCGGTAATACAGTGGCGTAATATGTAATAAAGAACTCAAGCCAACCATCAACAAAATGTGTCTCGATTTCAGTGGCGTTATTAAATCCTAATCTGTTAAAACAATATTATTTCCTACAGGTGGAATAATAATGTGTTAATTTACCTTCTTTCTATAGTTACTATTCTAATTACAAATCGAAAGCGGCTTTCGGCCTTGATGTTAGTCGCTATGTTATGAGAGTTCCCTAACGGCAAATAATAGTCAGTCTTTCGCGCTCTCTTTTGACATACTAAGTAACTACATAAAATGAGCGAGATATTTTATTAAAATGGCACCGTAAACACTGGAACAGTAGCAAAAGACTGAATAAATAATTTATTAGTGAACATCTACACGGCACAGTAGAGTACGTATATATTCGAGATGTTTGAGGAGCGAAATATAAAATAAACTGGCAAGACGAAAAATAAGACATTGTAGGTTTTAGTACTAGCACTCAGAGTAAATAACAGTATTAGGAATATTAGTGGAGATGTAGGTACTCACACCACCTACCGCTGTATCCTTAGTACTATAAATTAAAAGGTAAAACACAGTCACGTCTTACACAAAGCATAAGCGCAAACCACAGGATCAACGAAGCGGACTACAGTAGATCTGTTATCTACCATAAAAATGCCATAAAAAAAAGCACCTACAGTTAACCAATGTAGATGAAATTTGGTATAGAGATAGTTTGAGTCCCGGGATTGGACATGGGATGGCTTTTATCCCAGAAATCACCCTTTAGGGGGGTTAAAAGAGGAGGCTGGGACCGCTGAACCGATTTAGGTGAAATTTGATATGGAGATGGTTTGATTCTTGAAGAAGGACATAGTTACATAAAAAGCTGGTTTTATATAAATCCCCATGTTGTACAGTCAGGAATAAGTATTTCATTTAAATTATATGATGATCTTAGTCATCTGCACAGTTAAGTGGTATTATATTTATAAGACTTAAAACAGTAAAGCACACCACGGGTATTAAACATACCTATACATAGATACTCATAAAAAGCTCTCCAAAGTATAATACGCAAACATTGCCAACATCAAAATATTAATCATAATGTCTTCTCCACCGGTACCATAAATAATGTTTGGGCAGGTTGCACGTTGTGACGTCACGAGCGACGACGCCTCTTCTAATACGATTATAACTGTACCGAACTAAAGCCGGAGCCCTGATGGTACGCTGATGGCTTTTAGTCTACATTTTGCTACCCTTTTATGCGAGATATTTTAGCTTTAAATTTCATGAAGGTATTTTAAATTTTGACAGACATTTCAATGAAAATGGAAACCGGATAGATAGGAGTTAAAGGACATTACGCAAATGCCTATGAACTACGATAAAATCGAAACTGGCAATCCTATTCATAGATTTTAAATCCCATACTTGGGTTGCTTATTAGTGCTGCCTCTTTCAGATGGTTCCACGTCTAAAAAGTTTGGGAGTTGTCTATAAATGATTAAATCCTAAGTGCAGACAGTTTTAAGATATATAATTGTTTTCGTTGGATAGACTTTATGGCCACATTTCGATTGCCATTAAATTAAAATAAAATATTCAACACCAAGCGTATCACAATCCTTTTTCAAAGCACTCAAAGTGCTCCGCTCGAATATGCAAGCTTATATGGTATGGACTCGCCGTCCATAACTGAAACAAAAGACTATGTTAGCCCTATAAACGATGAGTGCCTCGGACCGGAATAACCCGGGCACATCCTGCGTGATAGCGATAATTCCGATAATGTTTACCTTAAAGGACCAAAATGACTGCACGAATTTCAGGGTTTTGATAGTGGGACGACGACAAACGTCAAATAGTTATTTGTCCTTGTAAATTTATTTATAGGATAGGCACATAGAACGCTAGTATGTGCTGACGAGACTCCCTTTGTCTCTCGTTGAATTAATTATCTAGTTTTTTTTTTACACAGAGACATTTTTTTTAAAGATTCGGTATGGTGTCCCGACTGTACGGTCCATATCATATACAAACGTTTGTTACGAGTATATGTTTAAAACAAAAAGTGTCAATAATTATGAAGTTCTTTGAAAGTGTAGTATTTGCAA